TGGACCAAATCTAGTCCCATGCATAAAAAGCCCAGACCCCATGTTTATTACGCCCTGGCTGGGCCCATTCTTTATGGTGTTTGTTTTGTTAACAGCATAATGGGCAAGTTAATTGACCAAGTTAATTGGCCAAGCTGCCAGTTTGTTTGTATGGCATGTGCAGGGGATGTCTTATAGAATAATAAAATCAGACAGAATAGGCTGTGATTCCTAAACATAATAGATGGAGGGGGGTGGGGGGGAAGGAGACATCAAGGGGCTCATGATTATAAATACCATAGCATTAATGATAATGGTTATATATGCACAACTCCTTTCTTATGTTTAAGTCATAACATGGTAAATTCATCTTATTATCACATAGGTGTAATATTTGGCCTAATCAAATATGTTTTTCATTGCATTAACAAAAATAAGTAAAATGTGTTCAAAAGCCTGTTTCAGCAAAATGGTTAAAATACATTTTTACTCAGAACATATCTTTGGAAGAACCTGCTAGAGGACACGACATATATGTTGTGGGAATTATACACCAATATCATATTCACCATAAATCATTGACATAAAGAGCTAGTGCATCATATTTCTGACCTAAGTTGAAAATGACCCATCGTAACAGCGAGAAATAGGTACTTTTTGGACACATAATTGGCCATATTTTTGTAAATTGTAGTCCAATTATTATAATTCTTTTTTATTTTGCTCCTATGAACAGTGTCTTTAATATCAGTCTATCAACAATCTCTAATCATAAATTATTAATTTATCAGACACTTGTAACATTAAGCACATTTAATTGTTCACCCTGATTGTGAAACAGCCGCCTGCTCCAAATGTACTTGGTCTTCTCCAAGTTTAAAAAAAATCTGGATGTTGATAAAATTTATTCTGAACACTCTACAGTATAAGCCAGGCAGATTTAGTACAATGGCATATGTATTTGTAGGTTGATAAGTTATTAACTAAAGAAAAAAAACTTCATGTAATAATCATAATAGTGATACATAATACATGTATGATAATACATTTCACCACAATATGATGCAAACACCATCAAATGGAAACAAAAATAAACTTGTTATTAAACCAACTCAACAAGTGTTTGTGCCAAGCAGATATTTAGCATTGTACAATATACATGTATTTCAGGAACTGCTCAGAATTATGCTGATTGCCATTTCAAGTCTAAATTAAACAAACATCAATGTCGCCTACAAAAATGATACAACTGCACCATATATCTCTTGCTATATGAAATACTTGTTGAAATGATGTTTTCAATAGAACTTATATTTTGTTTCATTTTTTTATTTAATTATGAGAAAAACATTCTAAAATGTTTAATCCCATTTCTTAGTATTATCATTATGCTTCACATGTATATCAAGGCTGTTGCAATGTTTTTTTTATAATCTGCAGAAGCAACTAAAGAATAATTTGCTAGTTTTGATGATTACATGGGCGTAACTAGGCATACGCACGGATGCACTGTGCGTACAATTTTTTGGCCAACCATGATATTATTTTGTATAAATTTAGTGTATTTTTCACGGAATATAAAAGAAAATCCTCTGCTTATTAAAGTCACCTGTATGTACAAATCCTCTGTATCAGTTGTATAGGCACAATTGTTCTGACACCCCCCTCCCGTCTTGCAAATTGAGGTAAACAATGCCTGTAACCTTAACAAGTCCTATCTTAATCGTCCATCTAACTGAATTTTCCTTTACCTCTTAATTGGAGGGTTCAGTGGCCCTCAACTCTGCTGTACCCTCTTTCTTGAGAATATCTAACGCATTCTCGCTGGCGATATTTATCTCAGGTAAAAATTTACTTGAGTGTCATTTTCAAAGAGCAGCTCCCGCAACCCTTGGAGCACTAGATAAAATCTGGACACCAGGTTTAAGAAGGAGCTAGAGAAACAAAGGAAGAATTTTTCCTGCAAAGCTTCAAAGAATTTTGACACGGACTTGACCCAGCTTACCCCTCCAACTAGTGACATGGGCAATTTTTACAAACAAATAATTAAACTTAAATGTATCAGAGCTCTGTCGTGTCGTACAATTGGTTGTTTTTGGGAGCCATGCATCCACATGTAAGGTGAATGAAACCGTATGTTAGTTCAACTCAGAGGTGGATCCAGGATTATTCGAAGGGGGTTACACATATGCAAAGCTAGCCTCCTTTTAAATAAATATACCGTTCTGGGTAATAAGAATTTTGAAACTGTTTTAATTGCGAAAATATTTCTGACTAAATGATGATTTTATTATTAATAGAAATTAAGCTGCGATGTGTGGTACATATGCTGTAATTACGCTGTCCTTCATCTCTTGCGTTAGTCTACATTTTGCTGGGAAATTTAAAAATCTGTGCGTACAATTTTTATGTACGGACACAGATGTGTCTGTACATATTGCCATCACCTGCATCTGTCGTCGCCGTCGCCGATGCCGATGCCGATGCCGATGGCGATGCCGATGCCGTCGCCGTGCACTTTCCTTGTAAACACGATAAGTGGAGGGCAGTTTTACTTTTTGTCTTAATATTTACAGAGCTGATGAATATTCATAAAACGCAGGTCAAGTTCGAAAATCAGCATGATCGGGCCATTATTGTAGAAGTTATGCTGTTTTTTCACTTTTCAGCATATATGCAACCCTGTAAACACATTTTAAGGAAAACCATTAGACCTTTTCTCATGAAACTCACAGAACTAATCAATCTTATTAAAACGCAGGTCAAGTTCGAAAATCGGCATGATCGGGCCACTATTTTAGTAGTTATGCTGTTTTTTCATTTTTCAGCATATATGCAACACTATAAACACAATATAAGAAAAACAGAGAGGTCAATTGTCATTAAACTCACAGGAATGGTCAATCTTACTAAAACGCAGGCTGAGTTTNGTGGCCCTCAACTCTGCTGTACCCTCTTTCTTGAGAATACCTAACGCATTCTCGCTGGCGATATTTATCTCAGGTAAAAATTTACTTGAGTGTCATTTTCAAAGAGCAGCACCCGCAACCCTTGGGGCACTAGATAAAATCTGGACACCAGGTTTAAGAAGGAGCTAGAGAAACAAAGGAAGAATTTTTCCTGCAAAGCTTCAAAGAATTTTGACACGGACTTGACCCAGCTTACCCCTCCAAACTAGTGATATGGGCAATGTTTACAAACAAATAATTAAACTTAAATGTATCAGAGCTCTGTCGTGTCGTACAATTGGTTGTTTTGGGGAGCCATGCATCCACATGTAAGGTGAATGAAACCGTATGTTAGTTCAACTCAGAGGTGGATCCAGGATTATTCGAAGGGGGTTACACATATGCAAAGCTAGCCTCCTTTTAAATAAATATACCGTTCCGGGTAATAAGAATTTTGAAACTGTTTTAATTGCGAAAATATTTCTGACTAAATGATGATTTTATTATTAATAGAAATTAAGCTGCGATGTGTTGTACATATGCTGTAATTACGCTGTCCTTCATCTCTTGCGTTAGTCTACATTTTGCTGGGAAATTTAAAAATCTGTGCGTACAATTTTTAAAGGTCTGGTTACGCACCTGGATTATGTAACTGTTTTGGCGTAAACTGGAGTCATCTTATGCTAGTTGAGGTTTTGATGGTGTGAAAACGCATTTAATATTTAATAATCATTAAAGGTGGGGAAAGTAAAGCGCCTGTTATAGCAATTGTAGTCGAGGGGAGGGAGGAGGAGACAAATTTTGTATAAGATTTCTTACCTTAACTTTGTCTATTGTTTTCTACTTCTCTATTCTCTGTGAACTTCACGTGCAGGCTCCACGGAAACTGGGAATATTCTGCTTCTGTGTTTATATCACGTGACATGAGCCAACGTTGCCATTGGCCGGAAAGTCAAATTGATTGTCTCGAACTGGTGTTGGACTTGTACTCACCCATATTGTGTCATCTTCTCGGTCTCTGGTGCCAGTAGGGCGGCTGTACATCTGCTGCTTTTTCTCATGCACGCTAGTTAATGGACGACCCCCGCATACGTTGGATTATAAACTAATTTATCCCATGCAAACTATAAATTTGTTTTTATTAACTAGTAAGCAAAATCTCTTACACTGCTGCAGCACATCATCTTCCAGCTACAATTTTTACATCTGATGGTTTTTAAAAGTTACTGTTCCTGTGATTCATCAGCTGAGATTTTTTTTTCTATTTTTTTTTATAAGTCATATTGTGTAATATTATTCTGTGTTGTTGTTAAAGGGATAACAACTGTTTGTATGATATCCATATTTACTAATAAAAATATTGTAAACAACTCCTAGAAATATAACAAATTATGTTTTACCACTAAAATGGCAGTCATCACATTTATTATCACCACCAGCCTGTAAGCTGTTGGTACTCCTGGTTTTTGTCCCGACCCATCTCGTACAGCTCCACCAGCTCTGCGTTCTGGAGCTGGATACAAGTCACCATTCTCCTCCTCGACCGCAAGGACCCATGTCCCCATCTCTTGGATTAATAAATAAATCAAATAATCTCAACTTAAACCCCGTTCTTTTTTGTCTCTGTTGGTGCATTATTCTGGGCGTGACGTTTGTTAAAACACACCCTTGTCAAAATTTTTGAAAATTCAATGCCAACACTATCTCTCAAACCAAAGGAATTATGGGAAAAATTACTATAGAATTCTGACTGAATGTCATACGTGAAGATTCCAAATATGCCCTTGGATTTGACAGTTGACCTTTATTTCAAGGTCAAACAGGCCAAAATCTCCTAAAAATGGGGATTTTTTCAAAAAAAATATATGTTCACAAGTGCCAATTTTTAGAAACTACACAGACCTAATTAAGTGAGGGATTACAGTTTGGGACTTCATCTTCGGGAGTTTGGGGTCAGTCAGTGCATTTTCACAGGAGAAGCAGCTGTTAGATGCCAAAACTGAAAACTCTCCATAAAACTGGAACCCTAAATACAAGATACCTCTTGTTTTTTGCATTTCGTAGAGCTTGTCAAGATCAGTCCTGGGGGTGGAATCCATTTTTTTTTGTTTTGTTTTTTGATATGTAGGTTAAGAATTGCACTATATAAAAAAGTACATTTCAAGGGGTCCGCCATATAGATAAACGCCCCAATAAAATATTAGTCCCGATAGATAAGTCTCTATACATACACGTCTCAATAGATTTATGTCTCGTTAAATTTACGTTCCGATATCGGATAGATCCACCAACAGATTCCTATAAACCCACGTATCTTTAGATCCAGGTACCGCGCTAGATCCATCTATCTGACATCGTAATTGGCTAAAAGGCCGATATCAACTTGTGATACAGGTATGAGGCTTTCGAGTGATAGTCTGGCTGCGAATATATACTGATCCACTTAGTGATCTGTCTTAATTACAACCTGATATTTATTATTTATTCATTTATTTATGTATTTGTATATTTAGTAGGTGTTCAAACAAGACATACATGTACGTTCGCTTCTACACGTCTATCACACTTTAAAGTTCAGGAACGCGTCGTAAACATGAAACAGAACACATTTTAAGTGTGCAAATGTTACATTTTGAGAACGCTTTAAACAGTGTTCTGGCGCCAGAACACTGAGCGTTGTGATATATAGGACACATTTTTTATGTTTTTTTTTTGTTTTGTTTGGCCTTGTATAGGAAAATTGATAATCATCTACCCCCAAAAAAAAGGGACTAACTTTGAATGTCGGAGTCAATTCATTAACCATTGGTAAGTATGGAAAAATTGTCCTTACCCTAGGAAAATCCTTTTTTTTTTCTTTTTTCTTTTTTTTTTTTTTTTTTTTGGGTGGGGGGTGTGGGGGGTGTGGGGGTTGTTATCTCTTTAATTTGAGGATGTTATTGTGCAATAACAGTACAATTTACAACATCCGCACAGTGCATGTGTCCTGCCAGATTACAGATGTGTATGCCACTGATAACTACCATATAAAACTAAAATAGAAAATTAATTATTTTAGAGATTTGAGGACATAGGAAGTTCAACTTGGAACCAGCTTTTGGAATGACAGATGCTTGGCTGCTAACTACATTTCTTGTTAAACATTTTTTATCATTCTCATACCATCTTTAGTTTTTTTGTGGATCTGAAATATTTCATTTTAAATATCCACTTTGTATTTGAAACAATATAATGATGTTTGGTTGAGTTTTGTAGCAGAACTATGACTAAAAGTGCAGCTATAATGTTTCAGGTCAGTTTTCAGAGGAAATCAATAGACAAGACCCACTACTGCAAGAAGCATATCAACGAGCATGTAAGGATGGCTTTGAAAGAGTGAAGAGGGCAAGGGTGATGCTGCTGGGCCATTACGGTGCGGGTAAAACACACCTGAGAAAGAGGCTCCTCGGAAAGGAATATGATGAAGATAAAGATCCAATCACTAATGGTATAGAAACTGACTATGTTCTTGTACAGGAGGGTTGGAATTCAGATGAAGCTGGTAAGAATAACTGTACAAGAATTAAAAAGTGTTTCAATATTGAAATTCATTTACTTCATATATTTCAACTCTTAATATACGACTTGAAGATTTATTAATCTGCAAGGACAATTCTTTTAATTCCTCCTTGTTTATTATTTATTAACAGCAACTAGATCACCTCAGTCTCTTTGTATTTCATGACAAATAATAAAATTATTATTTTAATTTATAGAGTGTCATGGGCCAGCAATATCACGTTTGCTTGCTGTTAACACGAGAAAGATACATGAGGAAATCCGGGCAAGTCATGCAGGTAATTCCTGTGTGTGTACAACTAACTACTAGAACTAGAACATGTTTACCGTATATGTAAAAGTGTCGAGAGAATTAACTGCAGAAACATTTTCTAATATGAAACGAGAAAATAATTAATCATAAAAAACTTAAGATAATATTATAAATATATTATATGCATATTCTTAGAATAATTTTAATGAACATTTGATTAATTTGAATTTTTGAATTAATTACTGTAGAGTTACAACCCTTGGGTCAAGTTGTGCAGGCAACTAATGTACCAACATCAGAGAAAGTGGAGAAATGTAAGTACTGTGACACTCAAAATATAGAGATGTAGTGATATAAAACTTAAATAAATAAGAAAGGAAAAATAAGGGATAATTTGATTAATCAAACCATATGTTTATAAGGGTTCAATCACTTTTAAGCTTTCTTTCTAGATATAATAATGAAACATAGGCTAGGTAAAAATTTTAGATTGACCAATAATGTTGTCTTGAAGTGCTCTGTATAAGAACCTTTGTTGTGATGTTCTCTTTGTGTCAGGATGCCAATTTAAAACTTTGGTTTGTGGATAATGTTTCTATCTAATTTATATTTTGTTATTTATCGATCACACCCCAATACAACTTTAGTAAATTGGCAGTGACGGATTGAAATGCCTATTGATTGTAATAAAAATACTGATATTTTATGTACAGGCACACAGGTGTCTATACAAATAGTTGTCTTCCGTATCTGCCATTGCCGTCACCATTGCCGTGCACTTTTAGTGATAACATGATAAGTGCAGAAGCATTTTGTCTTCAAACTTACTGAACTGAGTTTGAAAATCAGCATTTTTCAAAATGTATGCCTTTTTTTTTTTTTTTTTTTTTTTTTGCTTTGTTTTCAGCATATATGTGGCACTGATTACACTTTAAATAAAAAATTAAGGACACATTCTCTTGAAACAGATCAAGTTCAAAGATTGGCTTGATCAGACCATTTTTTACAAAATTTTAAGTAATGCAGTTTTTTGCTTGCTGCATATTTTATCCACCATTAAACAGATAACATGAAAATTGTGTCATAATTTGTTTTAAAACTTAAATGACTGATTCATGGGACAAATATGCAGATCAAGTTTGAAGTGAGCTTGATTGGTTCAGTTTTGAATAGTTGTACTTTCTTTAATTTTTTGTATACGTAAAAGAATACACACACTGTGACACTGCACAAGAATTGAAGTAAGAGGCCCAAGCGTGTGGTATTTTATTTTATATGTTTTTGCTTTCTTTAAGATGTTTATTTCTTTTTTATTGCAAGTTGGCCCAAGACTTGAAGATGAGAACACTTTGTCAACAGGTGGACAAATTTCGGCATCACAGGACAAGGAAAGGGGTACAGTAGGGTTTTCAACATTTTAGAAATTTGTTGCAATTATCTTAACCCATAATAAACTGCCATCAATATGTAATGACAGATCATTATGCACAGTAAGGCAGGTAGTCTATTTCCCCTAAATCAAAAGTAGTATGACAATAAGACAAGATATATTACCATACAGTTTTCTACTGGGTATCTATCATCACTACAAATTTTGTTAAAATGCCCTTGTCTGCCATTTTACAATTAAGACAAATAAAATGTTTTATTCTTAATGTGTCTAATCCATTTTAGCAAAGTATGTTATGGCATTAGGTGAAGGCTTCATCATTCCAAAAGGGAGATTTGTTCATTTGGCAGATACTCTATTTTTAAAATTAGGACATTCCTATTGAGTGGTAACAAAACAATTGAAAGACAGGCACCCTAATAGTTCTATTGCATACAGTAAAAGCTCCAGAATGCTACATTAGAATTTTCAGTTATTGTACCACCAGCGCGTCTCTGGTGGTAAACATGGTTTTATTCCCGACTGGTATTGTCCTCTGGCTCCACTGACATGTCACTGTTACCACTTCTCCTCCTAAACTACAATAGTCTCTGTATCTATCTCTTGTATGTAGGTCACACATAATTTCAGCTCAATCCATGTAAATTTTGGGCTTTGTTGGTACTTGGGTCCAGGTGTAGCGCTTGTCCCAATGCACCCAAACTAGAGGAATTATAGGAAAAATTTCTATAGATGGCTGATCATTTGAATTCTGATCGTTATTTCAAAGTGAAACAGGCCAAAATTTTCTTTATGAAAAAAAAAAAAAATGTGTGCCGATTTCAGAAACTACACAGACCCAACATATCCGTAATGTTATTGGCAGGTGTTATCCTTCAGGTCAGCTTTCATCTCCATGAGTTTGGGGTCAATCTTTGCATTTTCACAGAAGCAGCGGACATATGATGCCAAAACAGAAAACTCTGTCTAATTCTGGAACCGTTAATGCTAGAGACCTCTTGTTTTTTTTTTTTTTGCATTCGCTGGAGCTTGTCCAGAAGTTTTTTGTTTTCCATGCGGTATACAAGTTATGCTGTTTCAAAAAGTACATTGTGGTGTTGAAAATATAAAATGTAATATGTGCAGTCTGGAAAAGATTCTGGTCAAAAAAGACATTATTTCTGGAATTTCTGAGGACCTCCCGTTTCATGAATATCAACCAAAATGACCTATTTTATTTCAATTAATTTCTTCTATACAAAATTTATGGCACATTACTAAAACTACAAAACTGGCAGAGGTAGCTCTATAGTTACTATCGAAGTTGAATAGGAAGTCATATACTTGCAATTGAACTGTGACCTTGAAATTGACCTTTGATCTACTTTCACCATGAACTGAACTTTGCAATATTTCTATCCCTTATATTTCCAAAACTGGCAGAGATAGGGCCATAGTTAATATTGAACAGTTCAATTCAATTTAATTCTGTACTGGTACATAAATAGTCATGACCTAGCTTGTACCGTACAATGTAATATAATAAAAACAATACAATTGGTGCATTACCATTCTTGAATTGGTAATTGGATTGCCAGTTTGTGAATGAACATATATTTATCTTTATATAATGAACAGATGTACTAATTTAGTTACTAATAAAATATTCAAGCTAGGCAGTGATATTTAACTTCTTAGTGTGATTATAGATTTACCATAGACGCAAACTGTGAAGCATATGGCTACAATCATAAGTTACACTATGAATTTACAAGGAAGGGAGAACTTCACATATATAAACTAACAGATAAGTAAATAACAAGGTTAAACTGATATAGAATTGTGACCTTGACCATGCGCCATGTTCAGTCCCACTGCCGATTCACTTCTAACAACAGTGGGACATTTTTCAAGGAACACACTAAGAGTTACCTAGGAGAATGATTTTGCTATAAAATTGGAGAGGTAGACTAAATTCTCTTAGTTGACACTGTTAAATACTTTGCATAATTGACTCTCTGGTGACCTTGTATCAGTTTTTTCAAATTTCAAAATTGTTTCTCTGTAAAAATGATCCAGCCATCACTGTATTGTAGTTCATACAACTAAGTGATTGGAATTGTCTTTATTCTTTTTAATACTGAAATAATTATATTTTTAGAACATCAGCCCAGCCCTATTAGTTCCAAGGAGGCTTTGTCCTATTTAAAAACAGAGGAGAGTATGGAGCTCCCTTCTGATGTCTTAACACATTTGACAGAAAGCTCATACGACATTGAAAATCCACCTCCTCGTCTAGCAGTCTGGGATTTTGGAGGGCAAAGTGTGTATTACAACACCCACCACACATTCCTTTCTTCCAGAGCTATTTATATTCTTGCCATTGATATGAGCCTTGCTTTAACAGACAGGCTTGATGACCAATGGCATGGTGCTGAACACTTCTCAGGAACTATTCTTGGTAAGGAATCCACCAGCTCACAATTGTTTATCATTTAGTTTATAATTTACAACCAGTTGTACTCAGTGTTTGCCTCTTAGGAAAATTAGTTGCTGGACCAAAAGTTCAGCCATCTTAAAAAGTAGCGATGGGGAAACTTTTAAGCCCATTCTGAAAGTTATCAGCCCCGGCCAGACAGTCCAGCCTTAATTTCTAACACAGGTTGTACTAGTGTTTGAATGGAAAGGGTTCATAAAACCATTTTACTGCTAATTGTTTTATATACCAGCTAACATGTACAGTATGAAATGTCAATTGTAGTTGAAAAGAGCTGACCATAACGATCTGAAATTGAATCTGGTTGGATCAGAATTAATATATGCCTCAGTAAAATTTGATCTTGTTTATCTATTTATATAACTGTTGTTTTCATGTAGCATTTTCAGGGCTTGCTTGGGAAGAAAGTGCTATTGATAGTAAATGTCTACTATTTTATCCTTAGAATACTTGTAATTCATCCTTTTAATGTCAGCTTTCTGTACTCAAACAGATCAAACAGTAAAATATATTTTGAAATGTGTCTGATATATTTCCAGACTTTACTTATTATTGGATAGACATAATCCATACTTATGCGCAACAGCAAAACATGAGTGAAGATGGGGTATTGTCCCCCCGAATAATCATTGCTTGCACGCATAAAGACAAATACCTGGAAAATGTTCCCAAAGAAAAGGTAGGCATAATTGCTAAAACAAAACGAAAAAAAAAGAGAAGTAAGAAAGAAAGAATAAATATTAAACTGTTGTAGGCATTAGTACTGAAACAAACAAACAAAAAAAAAAAGAAGTAAGAAACAAACAATAAATATTAAACTGTTGTAGGCATTAGTACTGAAACAAACAAACAAAAAAAAATAATGAAATAAAAATAATGAAAATAATAATAAATTAATGAATTAAATTAAACTGTTTGTTTTTTAAAAAATTATGACATAAAATATGTCATTGAAGCTTGCAGTGTGTTGAAACATTCTGCGATTCTCTTACAGCATGAAGAAGAAATAAATGCGTACTTTGCTAAATTGCGGCAGTATATACAACAGAAGAGAAGTGGTGTGCATGTTGATCCTCATTTCTTTGCAATTGACAACACATGTCAAGATGAAGATCAAGAAATATCTGATCTCCGTCGATATGTTATGAAAATTGCTGAAAGCCAAAAATCTTGGGGAGAGAAGAATCCAATAAGATGGATTAGATTAGAAGAAGATCTTCAGCTGCGACAAGCACCCAAGAAACGAGAAAAAAGGTGGATAAGGTATGAGGAGCTGCAAAATTTAGCTCTTAAAGTTGGAATGCAGGATGCCATTGAGCTGCAGTCATTCCTCCAGTTCCATCATGACATTGGAGATCTTATGCACTTTCAGACTGATGATCTCTCAGACACTGTCATTTTGAATCCAACATGGCTGATAGATGCATTCAGGTCTATTATAGCAGTTGATAAACACCATGTCAAAGCCAAAGGGACTCCTTATTGGTCTGCATTAAAGAGGGGCATCTTAGATGAAAGACTTCTGGATGAGCTATGGGGAGATGATAGTGAGTTGAAGTCCATTGTAATCGGTGTTATGGTACAATTCAACATTCTTTTGCAACAGGATGTCAAGCCAGGTACAACAGAAAAGCCTACTTCTCGACAGTTCTATGTGCCCAGCTTACTTCAGGTATGCAAGAATCCAGAATCTGGGGTTGGCAGTGAAGGAACACTATTCATACAAGGGAAAGAGAACTTTATGCCACATGTGCTTTTCAACCGTCTTACAGTGAAGTTAGTCCAAAATGACACTTCTACAGGAAGGAAAGGTTTAAGAAGAAGAGGTGACTTTTTCCTCATTAAAAATGAGCTGTACTATGATTATGCTGTATATGCAATCGATCCACGCAGAGGAGCGCGTTGTGCTTTGAGAAAGTCAACAAAATCCTCTTGCATTGAACTGATTCCCTTATATCCCTCAGAGACAAAGTTTGACAGAACAATCCGAGGGGCATATGCTAAGTGGAAGAACCATGTTTTGATGCAAATTCAGCAAGTTAAGCAGACTGTCAGCCCAAATTTGCGACTAGAATGGTGTGTCAGAGACCCGAGAAAGCCAAAGGTCAGAGAGGAGCTGATGGCAATCGATCCAAAGGAGTCTGATCTGACAGCATGTGGGCTACCTGAGGATTCAGTGTACAGACTATGGTTTATGCCAGACTCAAGTGAGAAGGTAAGTCATGTAAATATTTAATGGAAGTGTGGCTCAGTTTTAACTTGTACATGAATATTACATGTATCTTTGTGAAATATATTTATTTTGTAAATAAATGAATACTCTGAGTATCTGATCACTGTTTTTTTTTTTTTATTCAACAGGAGGATAGTGTTACTCCGCCTGCCACAACATTACCAAGAGTTACTGGAGGTAAATTATCTTAGAACTCTATACACTCATGAAATAGAAATGTTAAAAAGCATTATTTAGTTATTGGTGTTGTTTAAAAATTCTTTGATACCTTGGTTTTATTGCAGTTGGATTTTCCACTGCGCAATTTTATTTGTTTATTGTTTTGCTTCCAGTTTGAAGTCTTTTTATGAACAGACACATTGTGTTTGTACATATAACCCTCACCTGCTCTGTTTCTGCCGATGCCCATGCCGAGGCTGATGCCCTGCACTTTAACTCTGAGTGGAAAACCAAGTAGACTTTTGTCTTTAAAACTGCAGAACTGATGAATTTTAGTAAAGGCTCGGTTCTAAAACTGATTTGATCATATCATTCTTCTAAAACTTTGGGATTTGATAGACGGATCATCAATGATGTGCATGGGAATTTTGGAATTTTAGTGCACCTGGGGATTGTGCTCCGCTGTGCCGGGGGGGAGGGGGGGGATAATTACTTTTACATTTTAATTTTTGCTATCTTCTCCCGTGCCATTGATGTGAAGACATTTCAACACCGATAGACCTAACATCAGGGATGTGCTGGGGTAATTCAGATTTACAATATACTTAGGTGTTGGGAATGCCCCAAATGTATTCTATTTTTTTTTTCACATTATAACTTTTGATATTTGGCCCAGACAATAGCAGTGAGGAAGTTGACATATTTATTTATTGAACCTGTAGGTTTTGTTCAGATAAATTACAGTTAAACAATGATCAGGAGAAAGACAGTTCTATTAATTTGACATTTTCTTTCAAAACATTGTTATAGGACACAGAGATGGCGGTATGTTACAAGAAGAAAGAATTTTAAAATTACCTGCACCACCCCAGACCAGGCACTCTGCCTCACAAGGTAGCAAGAAGATTGGGACAGATGATCTCAAAGATACATACCTTAGGAAATTCTCCATCACTCCAGAAGGTGGACATGTTCATCTGAAGGAAGTTGGAGTATTCCTGTTAGTGCCTCCGGAAGCCCTGGCTGAAACTACAGAAATGTTCATTGGTATAAGTGAGAGAGAAGAAGACATGCCACCGCTGCCACTGTGTCAGACTAGAGCAAGTCCAGTTGTTGTCTGTGGACCACATGGCCTGACATTCAGAACACCAGTGTACTTGTCATTTTATCACTGTATATCAGGCACACGCCAAAGAAGGATGGGAAAGATCTGTCCTGAAATGCTGACACAGAATTCAAGACTGGACAATCCATTTTACATATGGCAGTCAGAAACTCACTTAAGTGAACCTTGTCAGTGGGAAGTATTGAGCAATGCTTCTGTTGTGTTGACAAACACCAAATGTGTCTTAATTGTGAACCAATTCTGCAAACACAGTTTGTCATGCGACAGTAAGCGTCTTTCTGCCTTGGTGTTTGGGTCATTTCAGCCTCGACGTGTCCCCTTGCTGAAACTGAAGGTGTGCTGTGTCAATGACATCCAAAATGAGGTCGAGGTAAGGCTTTATTAATTCTTCAAGCAGGTTTTTTTTTCTGTATGTTTTGACTATTCCGGACATATTGACATAATATCCATGCCATATGGATGGTTGCTAATAACCCTGTAAAATTGTAATCGTGCCTTTATTTATTTTAATTCTTTCAAATAATGATGCGCATTCTTTTTCAGTTGGTCATTTTCGGGACATGGCCAAACAAGTCAATTTGTCATCATATCTGTTGCATTTGTTCGGGGATATTGTTTTTTTTTTTTTTTTTTTCACTTTATCTTTTGATACCCCTAAAATGCTTGTATGTTGCTGTTAAATGGTAAATGCTTTTTGTTGTACTGTTGTAGAATGTGACAACTAAAGCTAAGGAATCTCTCCAAATGGAATTGTTAGATTTGGAAAAGCAGTTTGAATTCTTAACTTGTGAGTACAGTGAGAGTGAAGATAAGGAGTCATATGATGTCAGCCTTTTGTTGGATGGGTTTGAGACAAAGTGGAACATGCATGAAAATTGTCCTAAAAAGGTTTGTTTTTATCAGTTAAATTTCCCAATATTGTGCAACAAAGACATGTACAATTTAATGAAAAGGCCAATTTATACATAAAAAGCATGTGTTGTGATCATGGCAGATTGGTGTGAAAATATCAAGTGTTTTCTTAGATAATGAGAGAGAGAGAGAGAGAGAGAGAGAAAGAGAGAGATAGAAATAAAGTCTAAAAAGACCATTTTGCATTTTAGGTTAATATAAAGTATGTGAAACTGCTCAAAAACAAAACAGAACATGTAACGTATGCTTTGAACCCTAAAATGACAGACGAACTTGATGTGCTTGATAATGAGAGAGAGAGAGATACCCCGTTCACACTACAGTTGCCAAAATGCGCATTTCTATAATTCGGACTTTTCGTAAGGAATCCGATTCGGTATTGCGTTCACACTCGCTAAGCGAATCCGAATCCCACGTTGAAAATTTCAGGTTTAACTTCCTGTTTTGAACACTCGCGCATGCGCCGCACAGGAAATCTTAAAATATCAACAAAAATTTGTGACGACAAATGCAACTCAAAAGACATTCCAGCATTCTTGAGAAGTATAAGGTGGCAAAATAAGTTTGTTTCCTCATGTTGTAGTGAGTGGTGACCTCCAAATACGTTTGGTGCAAGCGCTAAAGTGATAAACCAGCGTTCATAGATACCCGCACTTATCTGCACACATGCGCAGTAAGATCTGTACAGGTGTCGATTCCGGTAAGTTATCCGGATCGCGCTTAGAAATCCACCTCGCTTGCAGGATTTTGAAAATGCGCATTTTCAAAATCCTCTTGCGTTCACACTACTGCATTTATTCGAATTGTGACCTAATTCGCAACTTATCCGGATAACTGAGCGTAGTGTGAACGGGGTAAGAGAGAGAAAGAGAGAGATAGAAATAAAGTCTAAAAAGACCATTTTGCATTTTAGGTTAATATAAAGTATGTGAAACTGCTCAAAAACAAAACAGAACATGTAACGTATGCTTTGAACCCTAAAATGACAGATGAACTTGATGTGCTTGATTGCAAGATACACATAAAGCAGGAAGTATCCAAGGATCAGGAAGAGGACATCAAAGAGCTGACATCCACAGAGTTTGACATCCACTGGATCTTACCAGTAAGTTAGTAGGCAGGAAACTGGGTAACTGTAATGTGATGAGACATTACCATATTCTCACTGTTATATTGTCTTTGTATGATATTACAGTTACTGTAGCAAAATACAGTTGTTGCAGCTATAGGCTTGGTTTAAACTGAAGCTTTGATGTCGTTTAGTAATCCCAAGTTCGGATGGAATCTTATCAAGTGAACACAGAAATGTCAGGTCTGTAACTACCTTGATTCATGTTCACATATTTAAATATAATATAATTAAAATACATTTGAAAAATTATTGATAACATTGTCTCATACAGTAGCAGTGGAGATCCAAGGGGTAGACTGAGGTAAACTCACTACAATTGTTGACCTCAAGTGACTGCCTCTCAACTAAATGGTAGTCTTCAAAATCCATGGTTATGTATGTAAGATCGAAGGTTTTCTTTTCAGTAACCATTGTTGTGTTGATAAACAGAACCAGAATAGAAGTACCCCTCCTTACTAACTCTGAGTATTTACTTCAAATAATTACTGCTGCTAGGCCACTGATGCAGTCATTACTTCCTGGTTTATTTTTTTAGGTTGGCCCCCCTATGGACAATCTTGGTAGTTATTCTGGTGGTCCAGCAAGCCTAAGATCTGCTCCACAAAGGAGTTCACACCCATTGCCAGGAGGTGAAGTGCAGAGGCATGGTAGCAACCACTTTCAGTGGAGACCAAACCAGCAGTATTACCAGCAAGACCCATACCAACAGAATCAACCTAGGTTTCAATTCAACACTGGCAACCAGCAGGATGACTTACAATCTCAAACAGCAAGGGGGGTGGTTGTACAGGGACAACGTCAACAAAATCAGCGTAGGTTTCAATCTAACATTGACAGCCAGCAGTATGACTTCCGATCTCAAACAGCAAGGAAGGTGGTTGTACGGGGACAAAATGAGCAGAATGAGCAAACTTCACAATTGGAGTTTAGCAACCAATGTTGTGTCAATGACACCCCAGATAAAGTTGAGGTGAGGCTTAAGTTATTCTTCAAGTGAGTGTGTGTTTGTGTGTAATTGTGTGTGTGTGTGTGTACATGTATGTGTGTGTGTAATTGTGTGTGTGTGATTGTGTGTTTGTGTATGTGTGTGTGTACATGTATGTGTGTGTGTGATTGTGTGTGTGTATGTGTGTGTGTGTTTGTGCATGTGTTTGTGTGTGTTTGTGTGTGTGTGTTTGTGCGTGTGTTTGTGTGTGTGTGTGATTGTGTGTGTTTGTGTGTGTGTTTGTGCGTGTTTTTGTGTGTGATTGTGTGTGTGTGTGATTGTGTGTGTGATTGTGTGTGTGTGTTTAACTTATGACTATTCCTGACATAATTTCAATGTTGTAAGTGATAGCTGAAAACTGTTAAGTTGTAATTGGTCATTGTATTGTCTTTAGTTATTTTTAATTTCTGGAATTGGAATGTGCATTCTTTTCAATTTATCATTTTCAAGACATAGCCCAAAATGTAATTTTGACAGCACATCTGTTGCATTTATTTGTGGAGATTGGATTACTCTTTTTATGTTTTGATACCAACAAAAGGCTTGCATGTTGTTGTTGAATTTTGTTGGACTGTTGCAGAATATAACAAGTTAAGGAATATCTCCTATCAAAGTTACTGAAACTATATACAATTATTACATCTATTGGTGTAATACAGCCCTAAGCTTTGACACCATTCAGTTATCCCAGCTTCAGGTTGATCTTAAGTTAGGACCAAAATGCAGTCTATAACTCCTTTGTTTCATGTTCACAAAGTCAATGATAATTTAATGAAGACACATCCTAATGTTAAAATTATAAAAGAACTTATTGATGACATAAGCACAAACAGTGGCAGTGGAGATCCAAGGTGAAGAGTGAGGTAAACTCACTACAATTATTGACCTCAGGTGACTGCCTCTCAACCAGTTGGCTATTTTATAGTCAGGATTATGTAAGAGCAAAGGTTGCTCTCTTTAGAAAACAGTGAATAATAATAACCATGTCTATTTACATTATATATCCATATAAAATGTTAATAGACTTTACAGGGGTAACAGAAAAGAATAAGATAAATTAAGCAAATAATTAAGATATAGAATATATAGTACAATGTTAATAAATATATTGACAGTTAAAATGTTAAGATATTAAAATAGTACAATCTAAAGGTAACAAGCCAAGCAAATCAGTTATAAAACTTTTTGAGAATACAAGGATACAAATAAGTAAGGTATTAAAATATAGAGTACAATATTAATATTTATAGATATATTTTACAAAGGGTAGCTATATTTGGAGGTCACCTGGTTCAATGGCAATTATTAATTGGCGAGGGGGGGGGGGTTATTTTAAGCAAAAAAATAGGGGAAGCTTCAACTTTAAAAATGACAGATAAGGGGGGTTCTTGAGGACAGTTATGTGGTAAGATGTAAACGAATTCAAGCATTTTCATCTTTCAATGTAGTTTTAAATTTCTGTTAAACTTTGCAATAATAGTGAAATATTTGTACATCTCATCATACATAATATAATACCCCATTCACACTACAGTTGCAAAAATGCGCATTTCTATAATCCGAATTTTTCGTGAGGAATTCGATTCGGTATTGCGTTCACACACGCTACGCGAAACCGAATTACACGTTGAAAATTTCAGGTTTAACTTCCTGTTTTGAACTCTCGCGCATGCGCCGCACACAAAGGAAATCTTAAAATACCAACAAAAATTTGTGACAACAAATGCAACTTCAAAGACATTCCAGCATTCTTGAGAAGTATAAGATGGCAAAATAAATTTGTTTCCTCATGTTGTAGTGAGTGGTGACCTCCAAATAGGCCTACGTTTGGTGCAATCGCTAAAGTAATAAACAAGCGTTCATAGATACCCGCACTTATCTGCACACATGCGCAGTTAGATCTGTACAGGTGTCGATTCCGGTAAGTTATCCGGATCGCGCTTAGAAATCCACCTCGCTTGCAGGATTTTGGAAATGCGCATTACAAAAATCCTCTTGCGTTCACACTACTGCATTTATTCGAATTTTGACCTAATTCGCAATTTTTCCGGATAACTGAGCGTAGTGTGAACGGGGTATGAGATAAGCTCCATATGGTATGGTGCAGTGGCCCACAAGTGCACTCCAAATTCCAAACGACACTCCCAATTCTAAACCTCACACCGAATACTTAAACTTCACTCTCAATTCTTAAACCTCACTCCGAATTCGTAAACCTCACTCCGAATTCGCAAACCTCACTCCGAATTCGTAAACCTCACTCCAAATTGAAAAAGCTCACTCCGAATTCGCAAACCTCACTCTGAATTCGTAAACCTCACTCCGAATTGAAAAAGCTCACTCTGAATTCGCAAACCTCACTCCGAATTCGTAAACCTCACTCCGAATTCA